TTAAGTGATTCACCTTGGACCTAGGAAACTGGGCAGTGGAAGGGATTTAAATTCTGTGATTGGGGACTAAGGACCCAGCTCTCCTTTGCCCTACGGTGTTTTTTTCTTCCTAGCTTTTAATTGCCTTCTCCAGCAACTAATAGTTATAATATCTGAGATTTGGATTGTATTCCAAGGCCGGCACTCCCATTTTGCTTGTGAAGAAACTGAGGCTTTAAACGAGGTGAAGTGGCCTGCTGATGGCCCCACAACTGTTTATTGAACAAACAAACAGCTGAATGTCCCATAGTCACCTCACAAGGTTAGGGACTCCTGACTCCCAGAGAGGGCAGATAGAGGATTTGCCTATTTCTCTCCTGCCTCAATCTGCCATTAGTTGGAATGAGCCTGTGATTCTGGTGGGAAAGCCTCCAAGAACTTTAGTTGCAGTGAGCTGTGGAAATGCAAAGATCTGCAGTCTGTTGTTCAGTCGTTTCAGCCCTGTCTAACTCTTCATGACCCCTTTTGGGGTTTTCTTGGCAAAGATACACTAGAATAAGTTGCCATTTCCTTCTCCAGATCCTGTTACTGATGAGGAAACTGAGGCAAACAGGGTTAAGTGACTTGCCCAAGGTCACACAGCTAAGGGCCTGAGGCTGGATTTGAACTCTGGTCCTCTTGATTGAAGGGCTCGCACTCTATTCCCTGTGCCACCTAGCTACTCCCTCTTTTCTCTGCCCTCCCCGTTTTCTCCACTGAGCCATTGCCTCAGGGGGCCTTGGCATCGTATCCGGCAATGTTCTTAAAACATAGGAACCTGCAAAACCATCTTCTTTACCATTCCCAACCTCTTTTCCGTTTCTGCCGCCATTCCCCATTCTCTGGCCCCTTTTCAGGTTCCTGGGGCACATTTATTCAATGACTTCACACTCGGGGCATTAAGTGGGGAGTGACTAACTGGGCTATAGCTAGGAAAGAGCAACCTTTAGCCACAGCATCTCTGAGCCTTGTAGCTAGGCTGCTGCTGAAACAGGGCTTCTTTTCTGCCCCACATCTCCTTCTCCCGGCCGGTGCACAGTGTCAGAATTTCCCCCTGGTTGGCTGGACTTGTCCTCTCCCCTTCTGAGAGGGACTTATGAGGACCCTACCAGCCATGAGGAGGAGACTCCTTGTGGTGACTTTTCATCTGGCTCATAGAGAACTTGGTGTTCTTTGCATTTATAGACTATTAAAAGGCTTTTTTTTTACAAAGGAATGGCAAGTGTTGAAACCATCACACCGCAGTGAAGTCAATCCACAGCCCTGAAATAAAACTATTAGCAGACTCTTCATGACCCCATTTGTGATTTTCTTGGCAAAGATACACTGTGAGTAAGTTGCCATTTCTTTCTCCAGCTCGTGTTATAGATGAGGAAACTGAGGCAGACAGGGTTAAGTGACTTGCCCAAGGTCACACAGCTAAGTAAGTGCCTCTGAGGCTAGATTTGAACTCTGGTCCTCTTTTTTTTCTTTTTAAAATTATTTTTATTTCTTTCATTAAATATTTCACTATATTTTCATCATAAATATTTCATTAAATATTAGCAGAACCATGTCGGACCATCATCTGGAAAGGAATTGGGCCAAGGGATGCCAGCTACCCTGAACCGTCTCTGGCTACTCTGGAGACATTGATCTGGGAGGTAGGGAGTGTTCTTGATTGGAAAAATAGCATGGAGATGTGCAATGAATGCCCCGCACATTGAAGTTTTTGGGTGGGTAGTTGGTAGCATCCTAAAAGCCAATACTGACCGATCCAACGCTCCAGGAAAAGCTCCTGCTGGGAATCTCTCAGCCAATGGAATCTTCGGCAGTGCAGGTTCTTCCTGGGACCGGCAGGACTGCTGTCCAGTTTTATTGGGCGACCTTCTGTAATTACGTTTAAGTGACAATCTCACAGTGAGTGCTTTCCTTCCTCTCCAGTGTGAGTAGTCCCTTCAACGGTGATAACGGTGTAATACTTCATCTACATTTCACAACCAGTTCTCAACATACCTTTCTTGCCTGTTTCATATTATTCTTCCTGCAGAACTATGTTTGTTGTTAAGTCATTTTAGTCGTGTCCCACTTTTGTGGCCCCATTTGGGGTTTTCTTAGCAAAGATAGTGGAGTGGTTTGTCTTTTTCTTCTCCAGATCATGTTGCAGATGAGGAAACTGAGGCAAACAAGGTTCACTGACTTGTCCAGGGTCATACAGCTAGTCAGTGTCTGAGACCAGATTTGAACTCAGGAGGTTGAGTCTTCCTGACTTCGGGCCTAACACTCTTCTGTCACTCCACCTAGCTGCCTGAATTCTATGGTCTGGCCAAAACGGCTTTCTTACTGTTACTCATACAAGATCCTCCAATCTTCTAACTCCAGACCATTGCACTAATTGTCCCAAATGTCTGGAATGTACCTGCTATTCATATCCATCTCTTAAAATCTTTAATTTCCTTCACTCTCAGTGGGAGCACTCCTTCCCCCTGAATCGTCTGATACATGTTCTCCTAAGTATACTTTCTCTGGTTTCTTTTTTTTTTTCCCATTGATTTGGATAGATGGGTTCCTTTGCATTTGTGGTGATGATGACGATGATAATTTCCTTCAAGACTTAGCTCAAGTACCACCTTCTACACAAGTCCTTTCCTGAGTTTCTCCTCTCGCCTCCCCCAGCTGCTACAGCCATTACCACAAAATCACCTGTATCCATTTTTAAATTTGTACATACATACACGCACACACATACGTGTTGTCTCTCCTGATAAGAGTGTTTGCTCCTTGAAAGGCAGAGATTTTGTCTTTGTATCCCTTAAGCCTGACACATAGTGGACGCTTGGCAAAAGCAAGATTAATTGATTGATAAGTATCAAGCTGCCAGCCCCTAGAAAGGGGAGAGCAGGAACAGGAAGCTGGTGAACCAAAACCCTGGGAGAAGGGAGAAGGAAGAAGTGTCACTCTCTGTAATTAAATTTCTATTGCCTTTGTCTGGAGCTACTAAAGGAAATTCCACTGAAGTGAGTTTGGGAAAAAAAAAACCAAGTAATTGAAAAGAAAATGGACTCCTTACACAGATCCTCTCCCCAAACCCCCAGTGACATAGGAGAGCTAGCATGGCTGCTATAAAGACACTTCCTTTAATGTTCGAGACAATGACTCCAGTGTATATGTAATTAATTTCTCCAAAGACTCAAAATGTTGACAGGGTAGTATAGTGAATTTGGAGGCAACGGAGTCAGGTCCTGGACTCTGCCACTTATAAGCTAGGTAACTCCTGTATGTCATTTCATCTATCTAGGCCTCAGTTTCCTTATCTGTAAATGAGAGGATTGGATTTAGATGATTAGTAAAAATAGCCTTGCAACTCTAAATCTCTTGACTTAGAAATGAAACTTGCTAAAAGAAACCAGCATCTCCACAAGGCATGGTCCAGGGAGGTGGCTTTGGAGGTCAAGGTGGTATTGGTCAGTCAGTCAATCAACAAGCATTTATTAAGTGCTGTCTGTATGCCAGGGAGTAGGCTAAGTGCTGTGGATACAAAGAAAGGCAAAATATACACATATACTACATGCACACAAGATACATATACACAATAGATATACATACATGCACGTATATATGCATATATACACACATACATGCCAGCATGCATATTGCACATATATGTATATAGTGTGAAGGGGACTGGGCAAGGCCTCTTGCGGAATGTGGAAGCTGAGCTCAGTCTTGAGCCAAGCCAGGAGACAGAGTGCTTGCATCCCTTGAGAAGAAAGGTGGCCACACGTGATAATGAAGATGAAGATTGGTCCATTTGTCTGGATGAAATGGAAACATGGAGTGTGATGCTCAGTTCTCTTCTAAAGCACGGGCGGTGAAGCAAAAAGATGGAATGAAATAACCAGTATCAGATGGACGACCTGAGTTCAGATCCGCCCTCAGACGTTTGACACTAACTGTGTGACCCTGGGCAAGTCACTTAACCTCATTGCCTAGCAAAAAGCAAAATACAAAAAAAAAAAAAAAAAAAGCAGGAGGGGGATGAAGAATGGTACTTGTGAAGGGGTGTTGAGGCCAGTGGACAAAGAAGCTGGACATAAGTAGGGTGGAGTGTGGCTGATGTCCTTCCTAAAATGGTGATGCTGAGGAGGTAGTCACCAGTGAGGAAAGAAGAGTCTCAGGGTGGCAGTGAGGTGGAAGAAGAAAAAGAGGAGGATTCTGGAGAGAGTCCAGAGCAAAGGGGAGGGGCCCTTTTGGAAGGAGGGGTGGATTTACTGACGTTGGGAGATAGCATACCTCAGATCCTCCCCTATAGCCTGGGTCCTTCCAAAGGATGAGAGGGTCTCAATGACGGGAAATCAGGGTGTAATGCAAAGAAGAATCAAAGTAAAAAAAACCCATGTTTGACCTACTACTTCACAACAGTAGTTCTGCCCTGAATGATTTGGTCCTTCCCACTTTGTGTGATGCTTGGAGACCTGGGGTCAGTGTGGGAAAGTGGGGTTAAGTGTAGGGAAAGAGGTTCAAAATATCTCTGAGACAACTATAGCGGCAGCTAGGTGGCGCAGTGGATAGGGCACCAACCCTGAAGTCGGGAGGACCTGAGTTCAAATCCGACCTCAGACCAAACACTTGACACTTACTAGCTGTGTGACCCTGGGCAAGTCACTTAACTCCAATTGCCTAAAAAACAGACAGACAACTGTAGGCAACTACTGAGCTTGAGGCAGGCTTACAGAGTAGAGTAGGAAGCAGTTCCGCTTGCCCTACTCTCTCCACCATTGTATAGAGTACTAGCCTGAAGGATAAAATGAGTGAATGAGCCAAGTATTTTGCCAGCCTTAAAGTGCTATGTGAAATGCCAGCAATCATCATAATTAATATTTTTACCCATTATTAATCATATTAAATATATTCAATAAAATAGTGCTTAATTATTAATATTTTGGGATGCTGATGACGTATCTTCCATTTTGTTTTGTTTTTCTCTCCCCTCGGATTCCAAGGCCGCCCTGGACTTTGTAGTGGAGGAGGATCTGAAAGCCCACCTGACCTGCTGGTACATTCAGAAGTATGTCAAGGAAAACCCATTGCCCCAGTACCTGGAACGTTTGCAGCCTTAATCCCAGCCCCGACAGAGCCTGGGTGGCTCTTTTCTTCAGCTCCCTCTCTCTTTCTTTGTCTCACCAGCACACTCTGTTCCTGACTGTTCAATGCGGCCTTTGCTTCCGTATGGTCTCAGGAAACACCTTCCCCACCAGGGAACAGACTCAGAATTATTTTTCTAAGGACGCTTGAACACCTCATAGGGAAGCTGCTCTGGGGACCAGCTGTGGCCGCCGTAGGGTTCTCTCCCATGTCCCTCCTTTGTACCCCTCTCGTCTCTCTGCCACGTCCTCATGAGAGGCTGTGGAAACTAGGGAGAGGTAGTGTTCCTGTTTGAATCTTATTATCTCCTTGTCCTACCCAGGGAGGTACCTGGAGAAAGGATTTGGGGCAGTTCTTTGGTCTGGTTTGGGTTTTTTTCCCCCTCCCATCCTTCATCGCCTCCTGGGCTTTACTTAAGGGACCATCATTCCCTCCCTTTTTAGGTCTGCAAGCAAAATGTTTGTCAACCACTGGATTTTTACCAGAGCAAGGGAGGACAGTTTAGCCCTCCTCGACCTACCTTCCCTTTGTTGTTGCTAAGGGAAACAGGGCAGAAGATGGGAAAGGCAGGGTCAAAGGGGGAGAGACAGTGCTCTTCCTTCCCATCCCTCAGGAATAAAGACCACCAGTTGTCAAGGGGATACACCAGGAGCGGATTCATCAGAGCAGGTTCTAGCCCGCATCTTGTTCGAGTGAAAGGAGACATGGCTATCTTACTGGCTTACACCAATGAGCCACAGGAATTAGGTGCACACCTGCCTCCCTGCCTGCAGTAAGCAGAGACCCTGGGCTGCACCTTTTACTGCTGTGGTTTGATGAGCTCAAGCCCGACATGGATGAGATTGAGGAGGGTGGTGAAGGGGGTACGAGGAGAAGAGGAAGGGAATTTATCTGTGGCCATCTTTAAAGCCAACCTGGCCCTCTAGGAGTAATGCACTTCTCCCAGTGTTTTTTGAGTTTTTTTCCTCCTGGGAGAGAGTCTCGGGGCAGGAAGTTAACTTGACTATGTCTTCAGATGGAAGAACAATTCTTGATCCACTCTCTTCCACATTTATTTGAATCCCCATCTTTTTTTTTCCCCCTCTCCCTTTGAATATGGTGGCTTAAATCTAGGAGCAATAAGCATCACTGGTGATTGGAGGGTCCCTCTCCATTGGCCTTGGTGTGCCAAATCCCAGATGCCACCCTCATGCCCCCACTCCCTTTACACTTCCCTTCTCTAGCCATCTCAGAGACCAAAGGTGGGTTAAGCACAAGATGCTCGGGGCCTATTTGATTAAAAAAAGAAAGAAAAAAAAGATTGTGTCAGCTAAAGTTTAAGACTCTGTACTGAATTGTCAAACAAACACATGCACATAAGTGTGCGCCTACCCTGTATAAGGAGATTGGGTAAATGTTTCAGAGGAGCATCACTTGTATAGCCAAGGGTCCTACTATGGCTGCCGTGGGATTCTCTGGATGGAGACAATTTCTGTTCGGTGTGGTTGATCTTGGTGCCAGACTTTAGCTCCTTTTTGTACACCTTTCTTCCAGCCAGTCCTAAAATATGCCATGCTCCCAACTCTTTCCCCTATTAAATGTGCAGCTGCTGAGCAGTTGACATCTAGCTGTTTGCTGCAGCCTCACCCAAGCCACCCTGCAGCAGACTGTTGGTATCACCCAACCTGGGACTAAGCAACCACTTCTTGCTGAGAGACCAACCTTAGCATCTCTGTGACCTCTGCCTTCCACAGATCATTATCTTGCCTGCTTGAAAGATGGGCTTTGGGACAGGACATCATGCTGATGACTTGGCGGTAGTTGAGTGGAGATGGGAGAAGGGAACAGTGTCAGAGTCTTGGCATCCCAACCCCCATACTGGAATCTTATTCCCAAAGGACATTTCCTTTGTGTTGGGAGACATCAAAAATTTGTGTTAATGGATAGAGCTGTGTTTCTGTCTGTCTGTCCCTCCACAGCCCGGTGGGTTCTTCATTTAACAGTATTTCCTATCTGAAAGGAATAGCCAACTCATTCCATTCCCCGTCCCTGGTCACCAGTAGCACTCACAGAGATCAAATCTTCTCATTTTAAACTCTTCTGCCTCCTCTCGCACGTCTTTCATTCACTGGCTCAGTATTATATCTTTGCCTTTCTCCTAGTCTTTGGCAGAAGAGGCATCTGTCTTAGAAGAAACACTGACACAGATGGGGTGGGGGAATGGTGCTTACCTGTGAGAGATCCTCACTCCCTGCAGCATCCTCTGGGGACCTATTCATGAGTGTCTCCCTGAGGAAGGCTCTTGAAGGCTGCAAGCCCTAGCTAAGTGACTTATTTTTCCTCGTGATAACTGAGATCAGACTCTTGACTCCCCAAGATTAAGGGGATGATGGGCCTGAATTCCTCTGTGGGACTGGATGAGAAGCTCACCAGTACTAAATGCTATCAAATTGAGACTCCGTGTGGGCGTTGCATCCACTAGTGTGCAAGGAAAGCAGCCTGATGTCGAGTGGGCCACGGCTGGCCTCGGTGTATGTATGTATTAGTGGTTGGTGGGAGCTTTATTGCCCTAATCCAGAGTGCTAGGAAGTGGGGGAGGGGAGAAGGGGCCACAGAGAGGGTGCCTGGTGGTTTTTGTTTTAACAAGTCTCTCACCTTCGCTGTGCTGGACTTAGGTCAGAAGAGTTGGTGCCGAGGTGGGGGTGGAGGGAATGCACAGACTGGGCCTCGGGTTTCACTGTTAGTGCTTCCTTTGTTTGGGCTCTGTTTAGATTAAAAGACAGGATTGTAGAGTCATATTTTCCATTTGCCGAGGCACTGCTTTCACTAGTCCTGGCATGGGAGGGGCCACCTCACTCTCAACCCTGTGTTCAAAGCCACTCATAGCTGGTCTTCTATACAGAAACCACCCCCTGCCCCCATTCTCCAGGGCCCCTGAAAGGAGACACTGGAACCCTGGGGTTCATCGGTGCTGCGGGACCAGTGATGTAAATTGAGGTTTCCCCAAAGTAGATCTGTCATGCTGCAGCTGGTTGTGATGGACACCTTTGCAGGCCTTGTGGCAAGGTGCCATACTCCTAACTGCTGCCCTGTGTTGTACGCCCTTCTGTGGAAGAGGTCCTTCTAGGACGACATCTCCTCCTTGTCCCCTGCCTTCTAGGAGGTAGCAAGGGATGAGGCCCCAGTGACACCCTATCCCTCTCTTACCCAGTTCTGCCCTCCACATACCTCTGCAGGTCATGACATGGCACTGCCTTTCATGGGACAGACTGGGTACCACCAGTGGGGTGTCCTTCCAGCCAGAAAGTGAGGCCTGTACAGGTTAGAACCAGTCAGGGAAAACAGGAAAGCCCCTGGAATTTTAAGTTGTGTTTAAAAGCTTTGAGTTAATTAGGGAGGAAAGAGAGTAGTGTGGCTAAGGACTGACCAATTGAAAGTGGAGCTGTATGCTGGGATACCTTCCTTTCCCCCCACTATGCAAACACACACTTACACACACAGATTACCCTCATACAGTTTAAAGAAACGGTGCTTTCCAGGCTCAGGGTGGGAGGGAGTGTCAGGGTCAGGACTCTTCATTTCCTCCACTCAAGCAGGCGCCTTGGGGGTTAGCAACCTCAGAGATGTTAAAGCGGCTTAAGTAGGAAGCAGCTTCCCCGGGAATCTCCCTGGCAGTAAGATCTAGAGTGAAATGATGGCCCAGCAGGTACATGCTACCTCCCTCTTCCCTTTTTTCCACAGCTTCCTAGAACATGCACCCTGACCCTCTTCCCCACCCCATCCCCCTCCAAGTTTGTCTTATAATGATGGGCAGCATCGTGAAAACGGTTTTTGTCCTCCCCGTGACAAATCAGAAGGAGAGATGACCATTCACCCATCTCAGGGAGTCAGGAGAATATGGACTAGCATGGAGTATTGGCATATGCTACTTGCAGGGCCTTGCCCTGAGCATCCACTCCCCCTGCAAGTTGGTCAGAAGTCCCAGGACGGATGAGATCAGTTGATATGGCATGATGGAGGGAATGGTAGAAGGTCATGAATCCTTGTATTTAATCCCTGTTCTTTGATAACTTGAATCTAAACTGACAACCCTGTGTGTTAACAGTGACTCTGTGCTTTAAAAATATATATATAAACACAACTTTAAAAAAAACCCAACCCTTAGTACTTGAATAGACATGGAGGCATCTTGTCTCATACCCACGAGGGCTAAATCTTCTTGAGTCACTCTGGTCCCCACCCTGCAGAGTGCTGGAAGGCACCACCAAGGTTTTGTCTTCATAGATGGCTTTTGCCTTGAAACCCTGCTGATGAAGCCTTCAGCTTTCCCACTGCTCAAGTTGTGCACTACCTTCAAGCCCCTGTGGAGTGCGTATTCCTGGCATGGCAGCGGCTGCCTGGCATTGGTATGACTGGTGCCCAAACCTGAGCACTGCCACCTTTCAAGCGGTGGGTTCTTCTCAAATTTAGCTCTTAAGAGTTGCAGCTGATTTTATGAATGTCTGCATGTTAATTATGCTGCTTCAGTCCTACCCTTCTTAATAATCAGGTATGAAGAATTCATAAATTTGATCAGATTTCTGTAACACCAAAGGGAGAGCTGGGGAGCAAAGAAGACTGAACTGTCAAATCACCCCTGAGCCTAGGGTTCGTGTTTTTGTCTCTTCACTTGGAGAGACCTTTCATAGTAACTTCCTTCTGGGGTGTGGCTTTCTTTTCAAACTGGTGTGACTGCCTTGAAGGAGAAAGGTGGGGAGAGAAATGGCTGCCCACATCTGCTTATACTCATCTCTGTGGCTACCGGATCATGTTTATTAAGAGTATTTTCCCAAGGATTATTCTCTCTTCCTCAAATAAACTCATCTCTAATAAATGTGTAACTATAAACCTCCAGTCACTCTGTACTGGCAAAATCCAAATTGAGGTGATAAAACCTCCATAATTTAAATATCTTCTGGGTTTGTCCCCCTTCCTTCCAGCTTCCTACCATGCATTCTAATAAGCAGAGTTAACATTTGACAACTAGCAGGGTTGGGTTTTTTTTATATTTTTTAAAAATTATTTTGGAGGCAGTGAGGTTAAGTGACTTGCCCAGGGTCACACAGCTAGCTAGTAAGTGTCTGAGGCTGGATTTGAACTCAGGTCCTCCTAACTCCAGGGCAGGTGTTCTATCCACTGCACCATCTAGCTGCCTCAACTCACAGGTTTTAATACACTTTGAAGTGCACAATTTTTATATATATATATATTTTTTAATCTACTGGGTTTAAGTGACTTGCCCAGGTTCACACAGCTAGTGTCAGGTGTTTGGTCTGAGGCCAGATTTGAACTCAGGTTCTCCTGACTTCGGGGCCAGTGCTCTATCCACTGTGCCATCTAGCTGCCCCTTCTGAATTCAGATTTTTTTGACTGTAGGCCTACCACACAAGAATTGAAATTAATTTCTCCACGAAAAAAAAAAGGGCAACTAGGTGGGCGCAGTGGATAGAGCACTGGCCCCGAAGTCAGGAGGACCTGAGTTCAAATGCGGCCTCAGACCAAACACTTGACACTTACTAGCCGTGTGACCCTGGGCAAGTCACTTAACCCCAATTGCCTAAAAAATAAATAAATAAAAATGTACCACTTAAAGAGATAACTCTAAATGCAGTTCCACCTACAGCAGGGAGGGCTGCTTTTCCTGCCCCACTCCTCTCCATCCTCCATTGGAATGGGTAATAGGAAGAAGTCTAGAAGCTGTTTGCTAAGCACATGGAGTAGATGAAGGCAGATGAAAACCTGGGGTATCTCACTAACTGATCACTTACCCAGCCCTCCCCCACTGGTTACCAGCAGGCCTCAGAATTGTCTGAGGACATAATGCTCCTCTTCCCTGGTTCTGGGAGAAGTGGCCTCTCTCTGCCCAGGGCTGGATCCTGGATCCTGGATCCAGGGCTGGAATATTATAACCTAAAGATCTTACCAAGGGCTCCCTGGCCCCTAGCTTGTCTCACCTTCTAGGAGTAGCCATGGACCACTTCACTCTCCCCAGACCAGTGAGAATAGGAAGATGGTTCCATCTAGACAAAAGCTCCAGTGCTCCCTTGCCTTGTTGGCCTCTAGAAAGGTATGAACCGCTTCAAGGGCACTGAATCTCTTTCTTGACATAGAACTTGTTTTTGCTGAAATCTTTGTCACCTTTCAGGGCCAGAGTCCAGCACTAACTCTTCCCTAAGCACAGAAGTTTCCAAAAGGGGAGGCTGGTTCCTATGAAAAGGGCACCCAAACATACACCTGAGAATCTTCCTGTCTGAGTCCCTACCCCACTCTATATTTAGGTCAACAGATAGAAAGTGAAAGTGGGGAAAGAAATGTTTTCTAGGCCAGGAATATGCACAAAAGACTTCATGGAAGAATGTCATGTTTCCAAGGTTAATGGGATACTTGGACCTCCTCAGGCCTTTCTGGTTGTTGCCCCTAGACCACTTCCTTCCCCTTCCTCCACTTGGAAGCCCAATGTAGGTGAACCTACCTCACCTCACAAACCCTAGTTAGTGACCAGTGCTGAAAATCCTCACCACCCCATCCCCTTGGGGCTCTGGCTAAAGCTTGCAAATCTTTGGTGCTGAATTCTTCTCTGCCTTTTTCACTCCCAGCATTTACCCTTCTTGACTTGTCCCTAAGGAGTCCTGTACATGGACTCTTTGGTAGACTTAAAGAGTCCTGGGGTGAGGGGGGTGGGGGGAAGAGGTTTGGAGTTGCGCTCCCAAAATACTTGTAAACATTCTTCATTGGTCTTAAGTGGAAGGTCAGGTAAGGTCAGACTCCCTTGTATGTCAAGGATCAAAACTGACTCAGCTCAGAATGACATGAAAGGGGAAAATTATAGGGGGGGAATCAAGGATTACCCCCTAAATCTTTTTCCAAGTCAAACTCACTTGAAATTTTCTTTTTTCAGTGTCTCGACCTGGTGTATTTCCCTTTGTGCCCTGGTTTCTTTTGTTCTGTTGAATTAAGTGGTCAATCATGTGCCTTTCCTACTCAGGACCTGTGACCCGTGACCTTTTGGCTACAATTGGTCTTTTGCCCTCCCCTTTTGTCATTGTTAAAAGTTATGAGTGTTATTGCATGGAATACAGTTTAATAAAAAGGTGTGATTTAATTGTCTGCAGTTCTGGTAATGAATTAAAGGAAAATGCTATTTCATCTATTGATGCCAGAAGGTCCCTTGGGGATGAAAGACCCAGTTATCCTTTATGTGAACTCTGAGAATCAAGGGATATGTAATGTCCTTAGAATGCAAACTCCTTCCACCTGGACAGATGGCTGCCTGCCTGCAATTTACATTCTTAAAGAATTGCCTGAGGCTCAGAGAAATTGGATGAATAAAATGTAAAAAACATTTATTAAGTGCAGACCATAGGCAGAGCTGGTGCTAAGTGCCATGACACAAATAAAAAAGCAGAGACTTTTTTCCTGCCCTCTGATGAGGGACACCAGAGTATAGGAGGTCTCACCTCATACCCGGATTACCGCAATAGCCTGGTTAATCTGTTTGCCACAAATCTCTCCCCACTCCAGCCTATTCTCCCTTCCACTGTCAAAGTGATCTTCCTTAAAGCACAGGTCTGACCCCGTCTTGAACACATCTACTCCCCACCCTACAGCCATGCACTAAACTGTAGTGACTTCCTGTCATTCCAGGATCAAATATAAAATCTGACTTTTAAAGCCCTTCATAACCTGACCCCACCCCAAACCTACACCCCCAGTCTTCTTAAACCATACTTTCCTCCAACGTTGAGTGACACTGGCCTCCTTATCTACTGAAGCATTCTCATTGGCACTTCTCCTTGGTTGGAACATTCTCCCTCTTCCCTCCTCATTTTTGCCTCCTGGCTTTTTTTCAGCTAAAATCCCACCTTCTACAGGAAGCCTTTTCTGATCCTTCTTAATTCTAAGGCCTTCCCTCTGTTCATTATTTCCAATTTATCCTGTATGTAACTTGTTAAGTTGTTTGCATGTTGTCTCCTCCATCAGATTGTGAGCTCCTCAGAGGTAGTGCCTGTCTTTTGCTTTTCTTTGTATCTCCTTTGCTTAGAGTGGTGCCTGGTACGTAGTAGGCATTTAATAAATGTTTTTTGACTGGCTGCGAAGCACAGAAGTTACAAATAGAATAGTAAGACAATCCCTGTTCTCAAGGAGCTCACGTTATGATGGGGGGAGACAGCACACATGGGAGCTTCCATGGAAAGGTCCCATGGACCTTAGGGTGCAGCAGCAATGCAGATTTTGATGCCTCTTTAAATCATTTCCACTGATAAAATTATTTCTGGTGTCGAGCCATTTGACAGTGCCAAGGACTTTGTTGGTGAGGACTTTCTTTTTCAGGACTTTAATAGCTAAATGCTGAGGAGGTAGGGGCTGTAGCCCCCTGCAGAAGTAGTTGCCAAGTTGCATAAATGACTAGTTCATTTGTGAAGTCAGTGGATGTCAAAGGTGAGATTTGAATCCCAGTCTTTCCAGCTACCTCTTTCATGCCAACCAGTTTAGGACCCAAAATCTGCACTATGCCTATCTCCTATTGGTGTCCATTTAAAAAAAAAAATCAGAGCTAGGTTCCCTTGGGAGAAAAAAAATAAGAGCCAAAAGTGTCAAGAAAGAGACTTGGGTGGTTGCCACCCACGTGGCATACTTGGTGTGTATTGATTGCTCTGTAGACCTTTCCACTTTAGCTGTCCCCTCTACTATTGGGCATAAGAAGCCCATGGACCACGAGAATTTCTCCTCTATGTAAAAATTTTTGGCCTTCACAATCCTGGTTTCTGAACCTTAGTTTTCTTCCCTTCTTACGTATGAGCTTTCAAAATGCCTGATAGAAGACTATCACATTTCACCGATAGATGGTGCCATCTAGCGCCTTCTGTACTGGATCTTCAAAAATCCCTCACTTAGAAGCTTCTGGTTTTCTCAGATGGAACTAGTGCCCTACTTCATTAATTCTGAAATTATGGAAAATTACTTAACAGGAAGAGAATTTATAGGACAAGTCCATGTAGGTATAAGATATTAATTTGGATTCTTCACTGTACCAGGGCCTTTTGGAAAAAGTATAAAGTATGGTTTTGACTCAACCATTTCCTCATCAGTAGAATACACTCACTACCAGCCCTGTTTCTCTAAAAGCATCCCATGTTCTTTGCACCAATCCCTCCAAACTGAGTAGGGATGACTGATTTCTGAATTGAGATGCTGGCTCTTAAACTCTTATCCGAATGGGTATCCCACATATACCCATATACTGGGTATCCCACAAGTCTTAACGCAGTTTTAAACTTTATTGAGGGTGGAACAGTCCATTATTTCTGATTTGTTTCTTTATACATGGTTTCCCAAAAGTCTGAGTACAGTTTAAACTTAATAAGCTCAAGGCCTTGGGGACACCCCATATGATTACACTTGCCATTCTAGATGACAAGTGGCTTAAGAAAACAAGCAAATGATATTTTCATAACCCCATCCACATGATGGGAGACAAAGAGAGGCATTGAGACTGTACTAGCGTACATTCTAACTCGATAGAAGCACCTCTCTTTTATAATTAGGGAAGAAAGATTTTTTATGGAATTTAAAATGCACCCTCAAGCTGTGCCCGCAATGAGCAAAATGCGGCCCTTTAAGGAACTTGGAAATGTGGCAGACAACATCTTGGGGGGATCTCCCTCCACCAAGGCTGATCACAATCAGCCAATAAATGGTAAGGAGTTCCCTGAGGCACCTAAAAGTTCAAGTGACCAGGCCAGGGTCAGGTAGTTACTATTGTCTGAAGTAGGATATAAACCCAGGTCTTCCTGGTCCCAGCCTCAAGCTATCCTCTATACTCCGCTATATCCAAAGCATGCATAAATCTCAAGTGAAGGGATGAAAACTTTCAGGCTTCATATTATGATCAGAAAATTCTACTCAGTATGAATTTGACTTTTCTAGCAATTACAGCTATCTAACAATGGAAGGAGAAACTATTTTGCAAAGTAGTGAGTTCCCGTGGGCAGTTAGGTGAGGCAGAAGATAGAATGCCAGGCCTGGAGTCAGGAAGACTCATCTTCCAGGATTCAAATCTGA